AGAGGGGGAGGAGAGGGAGTAGAGGATAGGGGGAGGAGTGGGGGGAGGAGAGGGGGGAGGAGAGGAGGGGGGGAGGAGTGGGGGGGAGGAGAGGGGGGAGGAGAGGGGGGGGAGGAGAGGGGGGGAGGAGAGGGGGGGAGGAGAGGGGGGAGGAGGGGGGTGAGGAGAGGGGGGGAGGAGCGAGGGGGGAGGAGAGGGGGGGAGGAGAGGGGGGGAGGAGAGGGGGGGAGGAGAGGGGGGGAGGAGAGGGGGGGAGGAGAGGGGGGGAGGAGAGGGGGGAGGAGAGGGGGGGGAGGAGAGGGGGGGAGGAGAGGGGGGGAGGAGAGGGGGGGAGGAGAGGGGGGGAGGAAAGGGGGGGGAGAGGAGTGGGGGGAGGAGAGGGGGGGGGCAGAGTGGGGGGGAAAGGGGGGGAAGAGAGGAGGGGGGGAGGAGAAGAGGTGGCAGGAGAGTGGATGGGGAAGAGGGGGGGGGGTAGAAGAGGGAGGGAGGAAATGGGGGAACGAGAGGGGGGGTTCAATGAGAGAAAAGAACGAGACGTGGGAACATCACGCACTCTCGTCACGTTTGCCGTAACCTCTCCGCCGCTCCAAAGACCGCGCACGTGAAGTGCGGGTTGTGTGCACCCTCCGATTAGCACGGTTGGCTGCGTACGGTGCGAAAGAAGTCCACCGTAGTGGTTCCCGCACGTGTGCTCAACCACCCGCTGCAGCGTTGACAAATATCCCCCATGTAGCCTTCGACGGCCGGCCGCCTTTGTCTCTACCCCAAATGCTCGATGTTTTACGCACAGCACCAGTGTTACTCGTTTAAGGCTGAGTCGACCTAGGGGGAGGCTCTGGAACCGCGTCAAATATTCGCTGGTTACTGGTGCTGTGAGCGGGAATCGAACGCGGGTCGCCGGGTTCGTCGCGCAGTGCGCTAACCATTGCACCACCGCTCCTCACTAGCCGCTGTGTGTGTGAGCGAGCTAATTCGTATCATGGGACCTTTTTGCCAATATCAAAGTATGAAAATTAAGAATAGGTTTTGTTTGCATGCTCACCACAAGCACGTGCGATTAATGCAGTGCTTGATTCCTCGCAACAAGAAGGTATCTAACTAGATTCGAATAATACAATCTAATAATAATAGAATGCGACGTTTCGGTTGCAACACAAGCAGCCATCATCAGGTAAGAATGAACGATAAAACACAGAAACAACATAGGCAGACACACATGCAGAGACGCACCGAGCGAGACGTCGTATTCTATTATTATTTGATTTCATTTTCTACTTGACTTTACTGAAAACACATTCCTGCGGAGGGAGCTGGTAGGAACTTTGGGTTACTCGGTCAATGGCCAGGGTCAACGGCGGCGTGGTGTATTCCACAAATATGCCCGACTGTGAGGGCGGGCACAAGCCGGCGTGAGTAGGTTAAATGTTGAGTTTTATAAGGGCACCACGGGGTGACCAGACCCTCCCCACTCAGCCCCACCCCTCCCACCCCCCACCCAGCCCCACCCTCCCCACCCAGCCCCTCCCCACCCCTCCCCACCCAGCCCCTCCCCACCCAGCCCTACCCCTCCTACCCCCCACCCAGCCCTCGCCTCCCCACCCAGCCCCTCCCCACTCAGCCCCTCCCCACCCAGCCCCTCCCCACCCAGCCCCTCCCTGCACGACGGACACAATAATCCCCTGTGGGCTGGTGTAACCAGGAGGTTCCTACCAGTATAATCAAAGAGTAAGAAGGTATGTATTTGGCGTTATAATAATCGTAACGCCTGCTCTTTTATATGCCAGAAAGGGGGTAAAACCGATGCTTATTTTTCAGACCTGATTCGTGTTTGCGGAAGGCAGGTTCCGCTAGTTCGTGGCATCACGAGAATGGAACGTTGGGCTCGCACTGGTTTGTGGTTTGAACCGTCGATCACAACAGCGTTGGCACAACTCACTTAATACAGTAAATTCAGCTGTGACGGTCCCACCTGATGACGGAGACTTGTGTTGCCTCCGCAGCGTCGTGATTTATTATTTTATTTCTATTATTATTTCTATTATTTATTGTTATTATTTATTTTTACCGACGTGACTTTACCGAAAACACCTAAGAGTACGTTGGCACAGCGTTTGGCCCAACATTCCATGTTTACTGGGCAGTGCCATCAGCATCGACTTTCACTTTCATTTACACGAAGGACACTCCGAAACCAGGCAATCTCAACCCCAAATCCGTAAACAACAACAACAAACAACATCATCACAACACAACAGTGCAGACCGGAAAATCGAACGTTTCAAACAACAACAACAGCAACACATCAGACGTGCTGGTAACAAAAAGCACACAGCACCCTTTGTGCGTTCTGCAAACAACAACAAAAAACCATCAGCAAAAATTCCTGAACAAGTGGCAATTGCGCTCCTGGTACCTTCAGGTCGCCATATAAACAAAAACATTCCAGGAAAATGTGACCGACTAGCACTCTCTTTGCCCATGGTTCTTCATCTTTACTGCAGCCTTTGCACCCCTTTGATTCTCAATCGTTAATTTGTTTTATTTATATATATATCAATAAATACATAGGGGTTTGATGAAACACAGTAAATTGTTCTTACGTGCCCGTGTTTAATTTGTGTTTTCGATTATTCGCCTTAAAAGAAAAATCTGGCCCATGTCTCGCACCCCCAGAAAGGGCATCTCGCACCCCAAGGTTAAGAAGAAGAACCACTGGTGCATTATATAGCGTAGTGTATAGTGTAGTGTATAGTGTAGTGTATAGTGTAGTGTATAGTGTAGTGTATAGTGTAGTGTATAGTAGTGTATAGTGTAGTGTATAGTGTCGTGTATAGTGTAGTGTATAGTGTAGTGTATAGTAGTGTATAGTGTAGTGTATAGTGTAGTGTGTAGTGTATAGTTTAGTGTATAGTGTAGTGTATAGTGTCGTGTATAGTGTAGTGTAGTGTATAGTGTAGTGTATAGTGCCGTGTATAGTGTCGTGTATAGTAGTGTAGTGTATAGTGTAGTGTATAGTGTCGTGTATAGTAGTGTAGTGTATAGTGTAGTGCAGTGAGTCTTCACCTTTACTGCAGCCTGCGCCCCTTTGGTTCTGAGTCGTTGCAAAAATGTATAATGTTAATAAATACATAGGGGGTTTGATGAAAAAAGTAGTTGCACTTACGGGCCTGTGATAAATTTGCGTCTTGGATTATTCACCTTCTAAAAACAAATCTGGCACATATCTCGCGCTCCCAGAAAGGGTATCTGGGGTGGCGTGCAGCCCAGGTTAAGAACCCACCGCTGTTTACCAACATGTTAAAAAAAAAACCACATCGACCACATCCTCAATGCGCTTTGCAATTCGCAACGCTTGGATGTGAATGGGACGCGGTTTTAACGCGGCATTTCCCATGAGCGCGCGGGTGCATTGACCCCGCATTGCTCATCCTCGGGGTGTCGCGATTTAGACCTCCATTCCCATGCAGCTCGCAACCCCCATCGCTCACTCATTCGCAGCCGCGCACACACGCAACACACAAAGACAAAGATACCCCACCGCCGCATAGCCTTCGCCAGACTGTTGGGGCAAGTTCCGCTTGCCGATCGCACCCATTCAGGGCCGGAGCGGGCACACGAGATGGTGTGGAGTGGCCGATACCAAAGCCCCCACCGCCTTTGTCTCTCCCCCCACCCCACCCCCAGCTCTGACGTTTTACACACCACACCGGCTACTCGTTTAAGGCCGAGTCGACCTAGGCGATGCCCAAGGCGAGGTTCAGATATTCGTCGCTGGTAATGATTGTGAACTCGCTCGGGTCCCCGCTGGGTTTCGCTTTGCGCTAAAACCACTGCACGACCGCTCCCCGGCTCAGCACCCCGACAGCCACACGCAGCAGCAGCAGCGCTCACGCGGCGCATCCCGCATGATGAGGTCGCGCGGAGCGCCTCGCGATCCCACCGTTCCGTATCCTCCTCGCACGTGTGTGTGTGTACACGACATCGTGTGTGTGTGTACACGACATAGTGTGTGTGTGTACACGACTGAGTGTGTGTGTGTACACGACATAGTGTGTGTGTGTGTGTGTACACCTGTGTGTGTAGGCTAGTGTGTGTGTACACCTGTGTGTGTGTACACGCCAGAGTGTGTGTGTACACCTGTGTGTGTGTGCACGCCAGCGTGTGTGTGTACCCCTGTGTGTGTGTACACGACATAGTGTGTGTGTATGTGTGCACGCCAGAGTGTGTGTGTGTGTGTACCCCTGTGTGTGTGTGTACACGCCAGTGTGTGTGTGTGTACCCCTGTGTGTGTGTATCCCTGTGTGTGTGTACGCCTGTGAGCGCGTGTGTGCGTACGCGGTGCGCTGCGCTACGAACCAGTCGAACCGAGTTCGATTCCCGCTCTCACGACCAACACCAGTAACGATTATCTGAACCGGTCTTGAGGCCTCCCCTTAGCTCGACTCAGCCTTAAATATGTACCTGGTACGGTGTGCGGTAAACATCACCACTGGGGGAGACAAACGCGGCCGGGCGCGATGCTGGCCACCCACCCCCCTCGTGTGCCACAGTGCCGGCCTTCACAGTCCCTGCTTACTCGCAAACAGCACTTGCCCCCAATAGCCCGCTAAGGCTACACGGGGGATCTTTGTCTTTGTACTCCACACACACACACAGAGGGATGTTGGTGGTGGTGGTGGGGGGGGTGGAGTGAACGTCACAGAAGAGGCGGCCCACGCCACGCGCAGCAGTAAATCTGCGTGCGTGCCGCGGATCGAGATGTAAATCCGTGTCCCCCGTGCGAAACCTCACCCCGCCTACAACCTCCTCGCTCACCGCACGGGCAGAGGGGGGGGGGGGGGTCCTGCCACTTGCTCTCATCCTCTCTCTCTCTCACAGCACACACACACACACCAGCATCTCTCCCCGTCTCCACCCCCCCCCCCCCCCTTCCTCGCTCACCCCACCACCTTCTCGCTCCTCGCTCAGAGCGCGGAGTGCGTGAGAGAGGAGCGGCGACGATTCGGCTCGGAGGATACCCCGAGCACTCCGGATAGCGCCGGGATTCGTTCCCACTGCCCCCGCCACTCCAGTAGCCAGCAAAGCGTCATTCGTTCGCACGGGAGCTGTCGATATAATTGTCATCGGTATCACAGTTGTTGTTGTTGTTATAATCAACGACATCATTGCCATACACCGATGCGCTCTTCGGTGTAGTAATAGAAGAATAATAATAGTAGCACCTATACCCCCCCACCCCCCTCCGGCGATTTACTTAGTCCGTCCGCTCGGCTTAAATAATAATAATAATATTTATATTTTTTGTTAAATCGATAAGAGTTGCGCGGGGCGGGGGGGTGGTGTTGTTTTTTTTAAGAAACGAGAGGAGAAAGCGATGCTGCTTTCCGAAACTGCGGTGGATGTTGCTGTTTCTGTCATCTGTACTGGATCCCATGTATCGCTCGTCAAGGGAGCTGTCATCCTCCGTAGCAATTCAGACGACTCCGACGGCACCACCACAGCCACCACCACCACCATCGACGGCGTCGTCTTCATTCACCTCGTCGGGCGTCGTCCTCAAGTCGTCCTTCTCGCAGGCCATAGCCAAGCAGCTGACCAAGCCGCCGGCTCGCAAGCACGTCTCCCTGCCGCCCCCCGAGGCTCTGTGCGCGCAGTCGCTCGCCGCGTCCTCCGCCAAGTCAAAGTCCCTGTCCGCGATCGCGTCCGCGTCGGCCGTAAAGAGGCGCTCGATCCTCAAATCCGTTTCGTACTCGGCGACATGGCAGCCACACGCGATGCCAAAGCAGCAGCAGCAGCAGCCGCAGCAGCAGCAACCGCAGCCGCAGCAGCAGTCAAAGCGAACGTCGTTACGGGAATGTGGAATGAGCGCTTCGCGTGGTCTCGTGACGACCTATGTGTTTGTGCCCCCTCCTCCCGTGCACACCGCGGGACCGTCCCGACAACGGGACGACACCACCACCACCACCGCCACCGCCGCTCTTCTCCTCCATCAACAACAACAACAACACCACAACAACAATCATCACGGCGTCGTCGGCGGCGGCGACCTCCTCCTCCTCCACCACCGACGCCACCACCACGAACGGCTCAGCGCGAGCGTCATGTCCCGCAAGAGCGGCCTCGCCACGTCTCTGGGAGGCGCGGGCACCCCGGGCTCCCTGCTGCTGCTGCAGGGCGCTCCCAAGAGGAAGCTCTACAGCGCCGTGCCGGGACGCGCCTTCATCGCGGTCAAGTCGTACGCGCCCCTCGGCGACGGCGAGATCCAGCTGAATAAAGGCGAGAGGGTCAAAGGTGGGTGTGAGATGCGTCCGTGGCCTCCCCCCCCTCCCCTGCTCACGCCACCACATTTATTCTCCTTCCTACTCCCCGCGTGCATCCCCGTCGGCTCTGCGACGGTCTTGAAGAGGATCTTGGGTGCGCGCGTGCGCGCGTGGGTGCGTGCGTGGGTGCGTGGGTGCGTGCGTGGGTGGGATCGTGCGTGGGTGCGTGGGTGGGTGCGTGCGTGGGTGTGTGCGCGGGTGGGTGGGCGCGTGCGTGGGTGCGTGCGTGGGTGCGCGCGTGGGTGCGTGTGTGGGTGCGTGGGTACGTGCGTGGGTGCGTGGGTGGGTGCGTGCGTGGGTGTGTGCGCGGGTGGGTGGGCGCGTGCGTGGGTGCGTGCGTGGGTGCGCGCGTGGGTGCGCGCGTGGGTGCGCTTGAAATGAATTAGCCTTCATAGATGCTCGCTAATAGCACTTCCCCCCCCACCCTAAAGTCCTGTTAAGGCTATACGGGGGATCTTTGTCTTTGTTTTTATTGTGCTTGGAATTAGTGGGCGGCGGTGAGCGCGCTGCGCTATGAGCCCGGCGACTCGGGTTCCATTCTCGCTCTCACGGTCAAGTGACGATTGTCTGAACCGGCCGTGGGCCACCCCTAGGTCGACTCAGCCTCAAATGAGTACCTGGTGCGAAACATTGGCCACGAGGGAGACAAAGGCGGCCGGGCGTGGTGTTGGCCACCCCACCCCCTTAGTGTGCCGTGCCGGCCTTCATAGTTGCTACTCGCTAAAGAGCACTTGCCCCAAACGTATGTTACATGCTGTACGGGGGGGGGGGTCTTTGTGCATCACATTAAGAAGGGGGGAAAAAACAAACTTGGTAACTGCGCACGTGGCCAACTTAATTGTTGTGTTCTTTCAATGAGATGAAACCCGACTCAATGCGGCGTTGACACCCGAGTTGATGGCCCTCGATTGATGGTTTGTGGATAATCAACCTTGCCACACCCACCACAGGTAGCCCACACAATGAACTTATTATCCATAGATCGCGTATAAATATTTAAATGTGTCGTTGAACCCGCCGCCACCCCGACACGGCTAATTAGAAAGGTTTGTCACGGAAACGAAACGTGCCAATTCGTTACTAGTTCAGCACACAACCGGTGTGTTGGAAAGTGAACCCACAACATCTACAATTTAAAAGTAACGAATTGGCATGATTTGTTTACGTGTCAAGCGACAATTGACAAAAAATAAATGTTGTGGGTTTACTCTCCAACACACCGGTGTGCTGAACTCGTAACGAACTTCGATTTAAAGCTTTGGTGACTGCAGGGATTCATCTTCTTGGTTCTTTCGGTAAAGTCACGTAGAAGGGAAGTAATAAAAGAATAAAGATTGTATTATGTTTTATCTTTATTATTTTATTACTTCCCTTCTACGTGACTTTACCGAAAGAACCAAGAAGATGATCGTAACGAACTGGCAGGTTTTGTTCACGTGATAAACCTGAATTAATTGGTTCAGCAGGGTGGGGACGGGTTTAACGACACATTTTTATTTACGAGATCTAACCCAACAAAAACCTCTTGTGGATAATATTGGTTGCGAAAGCCTACTGCGTGTTAAACTAATTAACTTATTGGCCATCTTCAATCCACTTACATCTTAGATACCACCCAACCCACGACCCCCTCAATAAACAATACTGTAGCCTGTAGACAATTAATATTTCGTGGGTTATTCGGGGTTTTTTTTCCAGGGCATCCCTCAAATGGCAATTAACCATTTGCAACAACAAACAAAAAGCCACCGTTAAATTAATTATCTAACAACCACTCGTTATTTGACGTGCAAGCTAATGTATGCCTTACAAATAAATACATTCTCGTCTTGGTCAAATGGTCGAATGCATCACCTGGGTGGTTATTCCCACCGATGGCGAAAGATACATATATTAGGCACGTTTACGCCAAAAATATTACTGAAATTAACATTTGCCAGAATGTCAGATGTTTGTTTGTGTTAAATGCCACGGGAAATCAACCATATACGTGATCAGCCTAGAGCATTCCAAGAAAAGCTGTGTGCATAATCCACCGTTACCCACATCATTCCACACACCTGCACATTCTAAATGTTGCCAAAAATATGACTGAAATTAACATTTGTCAGAATGTCAGATGTTTGTTTGTGTTAAATGCCACGGGAAATCAACCATATACGTGATTAGCCGAGAGCATTCCAAGAAAAGATGTGTGCATAATCCACCGTTACCCACATCATTTCACAAACCTGCACATTCAAAATGTTGTACATTTCCAAATGCTGAAGGTAGAGAAACCTTTCCTAAAATCGCCTGGCACCACCCCCTCCCAGCGTTTCGCAGGCGCTCGGGGTGGATTGTCACTTCACGGGACAGTGATAGACGGTGACGGCTTGGGGAGGACTTCGTGCAACGGGTGGATCGATTGTTACCTCTGGCCGGCGCCTGACGATGCTGGTTGTAATTACTGGCAAAACGTCGTACTCGAATTGTAAATGTTGTGGCTTTAATCTCCAACACACCGGGTGTTGTGCTGTACTCGTAACGAATTGCCATGTTTTGTTCACGTGACAAACCTTACTAATTCGCTGTGTCAGGTGGTGGCGGGTTTTTAACGACACGTTTATATTTACGCGATCTAACCCACAAACCTCGATCATAGTGGTGATGATGACGCTGATGATGTTTTCCATTGTCCTTCGTCTCACGGGCGATGGATCTCGCACGCAGCACGTTTGAAAATCGCATCTTAAACCGCGAGGCCACGATGAAAATTGAGTCCGCGTGTTCACACATTTTTTTTTCAAAGTAGCCTTTCCGATCCGTAATTTATACGGCGGCCTTCCGTGGCCGCAATTTCTTAAAACGTCCCCCGCGCTTCGGTGGGGAGGGGGGGTGACGTTGACACGGAATTTATTGGGAGCGGTTTAATTCACTTAAGGTTCCCTTATCAACAAGTTGACGAGGGCCTCTCTGGTGCCACGCTGTTTATTCTGATTGGCCGCAACATGACAAGGTGGATTAAATGTAAGGGCAAGGTCCCGAGGCAATAAACAAGTATAACCCGTAAAAACAAAGTTTTTCACTATAAATCCTTTATATGCGTGGCGGCTAGAGTCCTCTCGTCCTCTGGCTTGAGATGGCTGCCACCTATGGGTCAGATGATTGTCTGCCAGTATTAAGCAATTGGTAATTAAATATTTAATTTGTTTTCCCTAAACAGTGTAAAATTTTGGAAAAAATTTTTCACGAACATTAATTGTCTCGCACAACGAGTCTGTGTGCAAAATGTCAGCTCGATTGGATCACGGGAAGTGGGTTAAAAAACGACAGAAAGGTTTGCACGGTCGTAAGCAAGCAAGCACGCAAGCACGCAAGCAAGCAAGCGAACTTAATATAAAGGATTTAAAAAAGTGATCGTTGACCCGAGTTTTTTTTTTAAAGACACGTCACATAACTTTGCCGTTATCTTCCGCCATTGGATATGCGAATGGTATGCCCCAATCCATAATTGAGGTTTTTTTTGGGTGAGATCGCATGTATATTAATGTATCGTTAAACCTACCACCACCCGACAGCCAATTAGTAAGATGTGTCACGAATACAATCATACCATTTCGGTATTAGTTCAGCACACGGGCGTGTTAGAGAGTAAACCCACAACATTTACAATTCGAGTACGACGTTTCGCCGGTAATTACAACTAGCATCATCAGGCGACAGCCAGAGGTATGCCCCAAAGACTGCGATTATTTTAACTTTTATAATAATGAGCTCCTTAAGTTTTAAAATAATGCCAGAATAAGGTCTTTGGAAAACGTGCACATGGTTTTGCAGTCACGCAGTAACGCTGCCAAATAACACAAATGCAACGCGTTGTTGAGTACAGTCGATACATGAATAAAATATGTTCTCAGAAAAACCTAAGAGGGAGCATCAAAATTCGGACAACCACACGCGTTTTTTGCGTTGCTCTTGGCCCATCAACTGACGCGTGTTTACCAAAGAACCCCCTCCACCCCCCATAATCGATCATGCTCTATCCACTGCTGGATGAAGGCCTTCCCAAGCCATGGCCATCGCCCACGCTCTGTGTGCATGTTGAGCTTCTTTCGCACCGTGCGTAGCCAACCGTGCTGATCCGAAGGTGCCGGCGCTAGGAGAACGAACTAAACGCAGCAATACAGCGATTCATCCCGCTCATCCGTTGGTTCATTCATTCACGCGAGCTGATTTCATCGCTCCATCTCCGCCGGTGGACGTCCTCCCTCGCTCGCCTTCTCCGGCTGCCGCTGTCCGTCGGCGGCGTTCGCCCACGGCCCGCCGTCTCTGTCCACGGCCGGAGAGAGGCCTCCTCGTGTCACCGCTGTCTCATGTGGTCGTGCCATGCCGTCACCCGGTCCTCTTCATTGCAAGGCCCCGCAGGTGGTCTCTGGTGGCCTTTAGTGCGGCACCCTGTACGTGCGCGCCCCCCACCCCCCCCTTGACAATACACAAATCCCCAATGGTTTCAAATATGTGGAGGCCCTCCTCACACTGATGATGTATTATCTGCGAAAGTGGGCCCCCCTCTTATAAAATTAGCGAAGAACACTGCCATTTCGACCCCGTGCGTGAGAGAATCTCCTGGAACATCTTCTCGGTCGTCATCATCATCATCACGATCCATGATACAAACACTGCACATGTCGTCATATTCTTGGTTCTTTCGGTAAAGTCACGTAGAAGGGAAAAAATAAAATAATAAAAATAAAACATAATGAAAATAATTCTCACGACGTTTCGGCCACAACGCAAGCAGCCGTCCTCAGGTGAAGACGCTGTCTTCTCGACAGACCTGTTCTTCACCTGAGGACGGCTGCTTGCGTTGTGGCCGAAACGTCGTGAGAATTATTTTATTATGTTTTATTTTTATTATTTTATTATTTCCCTTCTACGTGACTTTACCGAAAGAACCAAGAAGAAGAATCCCTGCAGTCACGAAAGCTT